AGTGAGGGTGTGCAGTGTGTGGAGGAGGTGTGCAGTGAGGGTGTGTGGCGAGGATATGCAGTTGGGGTGTGTGGTGTGCAGTGAGGGTGTGTGGCGACGGTGTGTGGTAGGGTGTGCAGTGAGTCTGTGGTGGAGGTGTGCAGTGATGGTGTGTGGTGAGGGTGTGCAGTGAGAGTGTGCAGTGAGGATGTGCAGTGGGGTGTGTGTGGAGTTTAGCGGGGGTGTGCAGTGGTGTGGGCAGTGAGGGTGTGCAGTGGGGGTGCACACTGGGGGCGTGTGGTGTGCAGACACACGGCTGAAAGAGAAGACAGGGAGGTACACGTCCACTAAGTTCTAGCATTAAGAACAGGCTTCCCACATGGTTTTAAGTTGAATTTCTCTAAAAGGGATGGAGGCCTGATGAACGTAACGTATTATTCAGGAGAGAAAGCTTTCACGGGAGCCTCGTCACTGAGGCTCCTGGGAAGAAAGAGTCACTGGATGGAATCCACACGATTCAGGAGAGCCCTGAAATGGGGAGTGCGTGTACGTTTGGGGGGACCTCCATCTTCGAATTAAGGGTGTATGCGGCTCCTCGTGGGGACAGGGAAGGGGAGAATCCATCCCAGAACTCAGGATGGTTTAAAGAGCGTGTCACTCGTCTTCACTTAAAAATCAGTTGCCGCTGGGATTGTAGAAACAGTGCAGCCACTCGGAAGCAGTCTGGCAGCTCCTCAAAACGTTACACTCGGGGCTCCCGTACGACCCAGCAATGCCCCCCTAGGTGTGCGTCCAAGAGAAATGCAAATACAGACCCACATAACGCCTGGTACCCGAAGCTTCACAACAGCATTACTTATAACAACGTAATGAGCGTCCGTCAACTGACGAACGGGGACACAGTGGAGCATCATTAGGCCGTGGAAAGGGACAAAGTGCTAACACGTGCTGCAGCGCGCAGAAAACATGCTGAGAGGAACAAACCAAGAACAAAAAGTCACGGCTTGTAGGATTCCATTCACATGAAATATCAAGAAGAGGCCAATCTCTTGACGTTACCAGGGGCTTCGAGGGTGGGTAGGGGTGAGGAGGGACAGTTAATGGGTGGCAGCAAGGCGGGAGGGGATACTATTCTTTTTTTGTTTGTTCTTGTCTTTTTATTTAGTTTATTTTATATATTTTTAAAAGTTTATTTATTTATTTTGAGAGAGAGTGTGAGAGGGAGAGACGGAATCCCAAGCCGACTGTGATGTCAGCAAAGAGCCTGGTGGGGCTCAATCTCATGAATCGCGATTTCGTGACCCAAGCCGAAATCGAGAGTTGAAAGCTTAACTGACTGAGCCACCCAGTCGCCCCTGTTCTCATCTTTTTAAAACCAGCTTTAAATTGAGATAGAATCCGGGCACCCGGGTGGCTCAGTTGGTTAAGAGTCCGACTTCAGCTCAGGTCATGATCTCAAGGTTTGTGGGTTCGAGCCCCGCATCGGGCACTGTGCTGACAGCTCAGAGCCTGGAGCTGCTTCAGATTCTGTATCTCTCTCTCTCCCTGACCTTCCCCTGCTCATGCTGTCTCTCTCTCTCTGAAATAAAAAAGAGAGATAGAATCCACATATCCTACAATGCACCCACTTAAAGTGCACGCCTTTGTGATTTTTAGCATAAGCACAGGGTCATGCAGACATCATGATCTCCTTTCAGAACATTCCCAGCACCCCCAGAAGGAGCCCAGGGTACAACCTGATGGTGGACATATGTATTCACTTCCGCTTCTTCCAGGCATATTCCTGGGAGTGGAATTGCTGTATCGTGTAGTAATTATGTTTAACTTTTTAAGAAGCCTTCAAGTGGTTTTACAGAGTGGCTGCACCACTCTTCATCCCCACCAGTGACATAGGAGGGTTTTCCAGGGTCTCCACACCCTCCCCAACACTCATTTTCGTCTACCTTTTTTGGAACAGCCATCCCACTGGCTGCGAAGCAGTCTCTTAGTGCGGTTTTCATTTGTATTTCCTTGGTGGCTGATGGCATTGAGCATCTCTGCAGCAGCTCATTGCCCATTTATTTGTAGATCCTCCCTAGGGACACATCTATTTGGATCCTGTGCTCATTTTTCAATTGGGTTGTCTTTTAGTACTGAATTATAAGAGTTCTTTATATATTCTTGGTACAAGCCCCTTAACAGGTTAGGATTTGCAAGTATTTCCTCCTGCCCTTGGATTATCTTTTCACTGTTCCTCACGGTGTCCTTTGAAGCATAGATATTTTAAATTTTGACCACAGGTGCTTTTTTAAGGTGAGGAAGATGTTCTAAAATTGTATAGTCGTGATGTTTGCACAGCTCTGGGAATACAGTGAAACCACTCTGTTGTATACTTCATAAGGGTGAGTTTTATGGTAAGTAAATTATGTTTTAGTAAAAATATTGCCGAGAAAACCAGTCTACCACACACCTATGAGAACGGCTGAAGTCCAGAACGCTGACAATACCAAGTGTTCACGAGCAGCAGAGACTCTCGCTCACTGCTGGTGGGAAAGCAAACTGGCGCAGCCACTCTGGAAGGCAGTTTGGTGGTTTCTTACCAGAGCAAACATACTCTCACCATATGACCCAGCAATTGTGTTCCCTGGAGCTGAAAACACATGTCCCCACGAAAACCTGCACGTTAATGTTTATAGCAGTAGCTTTAGTCGTAACTGCTAAAACTTGGGAGCAACCAAAGCATCCTTCAGGTGGTAAACGGATACATGAACTGTGGTCCATCCATACGATGGAATATCGCTCAGTGCTTAAAAGACATGAGCTATGTAAAGCCATGCAGAGACACAGAGGAACCTTAAATACATATTGCTAAGTGAGAGAAGGCAATCTGAAAAGGCCACACATTATATGATTCCAACTCCATGAACCTTCTGGAAACGGCAAAACTATGAAAACAGTAAGAAGATCAGTGCTTTCCCAGAGTTAGGTGAGGGCAGCGGGCTGTGAAGAGGCAGAACATGGAGAGTATCTGTGCAGTGAGAATACTCCGTACGATATACTATAATGATGGATATGTGTCGTTACACACTTGTCTACGCCCAGATGGTGTACCACACCAAGAGTGAATTCTAACATAAACTGGACTCCGGATGATAATGATGTGTCAAAGTGGGTTCACCAATTGTCACAAATGTACCCTCTGGTGGGGGATGTGGATAAGAGGGTGTGGGCACAGGGCGTACATGGGACATCTCGGTACTTTCAATTTTGCTGTGAACCTGAAAGTGTTCTAAAAAATAAAGTCTTATTTTTTATTAAAACATTTTTAATGTTTACTTTTGAGAGAGAGAGAGAGAGAGAGACAGAGCATGAGCAGGGGAGGGGCAGAGACAGAGAGAGAGAGAGAGAGAGAGAGAGACACGTAATCAGAAGCAGGCTCCAGACTCCGAGCTGTCAGCACAGAGCCCGACACGGGGCTCGAACCCACGAACCGCGAGATCATGACCTGAGCCAAAGTCAGACGCTCAACCGGCTGAGTCGCCCAGGCGCCCCCAAAATAAAGTCTTTTAAAAAAAATCAGTGAGCTGGCTTGCATACAGGTCACAATCTCCCTGAGTTGACTGGTATCTACGACTCTTTCTGGATTACAATGGGCCTGAGCAGAGCAACTGGACGAGAGCTTTTCAGGCAAAGGAACAGGGCTTCTCATAACGGAGGTATGCAGCCCACAGCGGCCGCGTTACCCGGTCCCTCCCGGAGGCTGTCAGGAAACAGAAGTCGTGTTTGGTCTTCGTAAAGCCATCCAGTGTCCTACGAAGAACTCCCCGTGATCACATCGCCCTCTAACTGTAGTAATTCAGGCCTTCTCCTCCGGGCTGATACC